CGTGTGCGTGTGCGTGTGTGTGTGTGTGTGTGTGTGTGTGCGTGCGTGTGTGTGTGTGTGTGTGCGCGTGCGGGCGCGCGCGCCACTGCCTGCCTGTCTGTCTTGTTATTTCCTCACTCTTAATGACTGTCATATTGTCGATGTGCGGATTTTTACTCAAACAAGGGGCGTCACCTTTCGCTGAGTTGATATCATGTTCTACTACGGATCTGGATCGAATTCCTGACTGGGTATTCTTGAACTCGGGTCGTTTTGTGGTGGAGTTCTGAAGGCTCTGTACCTATACGTTCTTATACTATCTCTGACCGTCTAGCTCTGCACACATTTGGCTTGGTCCTATCGGAGATGGGCAGTGGGTGGTTGGCGGGTGCTCTGGTGCGTGGTTTGCTTCTTCTTTCCTATCATCTTTCCTATCAAACATCTATCGTCCTTATCCCCCCTTTTTATTTTTTATGTTTGTTACTCTCTTGTAGCACTTCTCATCTTCTGGCGCTCATATGACCTTTTGCATTTGCGAGCACCGTAAAACATGTACCAAAAAAAAGGAGATGGGTATTAAATTCAGAGGTCCTGACTCTAAAATATCGTGACAGCGTTGAAGGGAATGTTAAACCCACACACGCACACATACGTCACTGAAACAAAGAAACAAACTCAAGTGGGTGTGTGTTTGCCGACGCTCTGGTGTGGTTTGCTCTTTCTTTCCTATCAAACAACTAACAACTATCGTCTTTATCTCTCCTCCTTTTTTATATTTATTACTCTCTTGTGACACCTCTAATCTTTGGCACTTATGTGGCCTTATTGTGTTGCAAGTGCCGTAAAACTTTTAATAAAACTTAAGTAGTAAGCCTGATTCCCTCTAAAGACTTTTCTGTTGACATCCAACCCTTGGCGTTCAAATGACCGTAGGCAGTTGAGAGCGCCGAAAAAATTCTACTAAAACTAAACTGACCTCTGCGTATCTCTCTCAAACAAACTTGACCCCTGACCTCTGTGTGTCTCTCCCCCCAGTTGGACCGGCTCCCCAAGGCAGCGTCGGCCGCCTACACGTACTTCCTGAAGAACCAGGAGGACCCGGACACCCGACAGAACATGCTCTTCTACCGGGACAAGGCCGGTGTGCCAGAGAAACACTTCCTCGACATGGAGATGGTCACGTACAAGGTCCGTCATACTGTCGACAGTGCTGCCTTCTTATGATAGAAAAACATATTGTAATGTTTGTGTCTGATGTATGAAATGTAAAATTAATGGGAATGAACTATGTTGCGAATGTTGAAAGAACGATTCTTTAATATCACAATTATTTCCCTTTCTTGACACGCCACACACTGTCTCGTTTTGAATACACACGAGATTTCAGTGTAAACTAAACTAAATAAAATCAGTTCACCAGCAGGTAGGCATGAGAGCGGTTGTGTTTTGTCTTTTTTTCAAGTATTAATCTTTTTATAATGTGAGGCCATATGCAGCCGTCACACGGATATTAAGCCAAAAATGAAATATTACAAGAGAGGCAGAAAACTAACTTTTTTGCGTGTGTTTCAAATTAACTGAAGTTTGGTTGATCTGATTATTTTATGTTAGTACTCATTGGCCAGTCTAACTGTTGTCTGATTTGCTGAGGTATACAGTAAAAAGTTACGGAGTAATTGATTAAAATTCTTTTGTTGCAATATATGTAATTAGATCTCAAGGCATATTTTAACAAAAGCCAAAAGTTCCTTAATTTTAATTGTACAGCCATAAAACCAAGATAGAAAGACGCGCCATGAAAATGTGCTTTTTTTGTTTTTTTTATTTGTTCGGATAAAGATGAATGAGGCCTGAAAATGAAGTTTGCTAATGTGTATTTTTTGTTTGTTTGAATAGAGGTGAATGAGGGACAAAAATGAAGTTTATTCATGTGCATTTTTTGTTTGTTTGTTCAGGAGGAGTACATCCGTGCCATGATGGCTCACAAAGCGGAGCTGTGGACGGGTGTGATCAGACACCTGGAGATGTGTGTGGAGGATTACTTTGTGCAGGATGAGCGCTGTCAGGCCGACTGTCAGGGAAAGACGCGCATGAGAGGGACAGAGTTCAGCACGGGGATTGCAGGTGTGTGTGTGTGTGTGTGTGTGTGTGTTTGTGAGAGAGAGAGA